GAAGGAAGGAAGGAAGGAAGGAAGGAAGGAAGGAAGGAAGGAAGGAAGCAAAGCGAGGCCAGTGGGTGACAGAGTCGGCCAAAGTGCCACTGGAGGGCCCCTTGCCCGGGCAGTCCTGGGGGAGGAACCATCGCCTAGTGGTCAGCCCAGATACCCTGCAGGGGGCTCTCCTGGCACGGCTTGAAGTGCAAGATGGAAGATCGAGGCCCCCCGCCAGGTCCCTTGCTCTGATTGCAGGTTACAAAAAGGTTGTCGGCTTGGCACTGGTGCCGAGTTGCTTCACTGCCAGCACATGAGAAGTGGGCGTGTTTCCCCGGCCCTGACATGCAGACGTTTAAAATGCATGATCGGCGCATGCATCATAATCAGGGATGTCTGGAGGCGTTACTTAGAGTTTATGGAAAGCACAGAGCTCTTTTGCAGATGTTTGCCCAGTAATCGTACAGCATCCCTGCGAAGTAGGACACTGTTTTGGCTTCCCTTCTGCAGATGCACTCTTAGTCTGAGTGACGGGGGCTCAACCGCGGCTCAGGATTCGAACCAGGCTCCTTGGACACACTTTGGGACCATTTTCACCCAAGCAGCTTCCATCAGCCAAATCTTATCACTGGATCACATCTCTCCAGCTCGAATCCCTCCGATCATGGCTTTTTTGTCCCAAATTCTATTCTTGAACAGAACAGAATTTAGGACATGAAGAGACTACAGATAAAAGGCAGAAGCTGCAGGAAAACGAGGGCTGAACTGAAACCCAGTGCTGTGCTCCGCTCTGCCAAAGAGTGCACGGTTTTCAACGTTTCTTCCCCTGCTGCTTCTCCCAGAACTTCAGCTGAGTCTGTCTGAAATGGGCACGACGAAGGCCACGGGGACCTCCGAGGTTAACTGTGTGGCCAAGGGGTGCCCGCTCACCCCCTTATCCTTTGCCTGGGCACACGTGGGCCCTTTCACCCCACACTGACAAAGCACATGTGCCAGCGCTGGCCTGCAACGCCCCGCCATTAAGGCTGCCGTCCGACACACCTGGGTGGCGCTGGCTCACCCCCCCCCCCCCGTCCGCGCACACGGCGTGTGCCACGGTGCTTCTGCTCTGGGATCTTATTCTGGCACGGAAATTCTTGGCTCAGCAGTGTCACTGCAAGTGAGACGCGTCTTGGAATTGGCAGACGAGCAGGAGCCAAGGATGCGATGTGGCTGCAAAACCCACAAGTGCTATTCTGGGTTGCATTAACAGAAGCGCCTCTTCCAAGCCATGCGGAGCCCCGGCTCCTCTCCACTCGGCCCTGGCGAGGCCTCATCTGGAGTCCTGGGCACCACAGGTGAAGAAAGATGCAGTCCAGAAGGAGAGGGGTCGGAGGGGGTCCACAAGGATGCTCTGGGGAGTGGAAACAAAGCCCTGTGAGCAGAGATGGGAAGGACTGGACTTGTTTAGCCCGGAGAAGACGGAGGGGAGGCAGGATTGCTCTCTGCAAATCCTTGAAAGGCTGTCACAAAGGCCAGGATCTTTTCTCGATCATCCCAGAGCGCAGGACAAGGAAGAATGGGCCCAATTCACAGGAAGCCGGATATCAGGAACAATTTCCTGCCTGCTAGGAGCAGTATGACCACGGAACCCATGACCTGTGGAGCTGGGGGGCTCTCCCACCCTGGGGGGATTCAAGATGCAGCTGGGCAGCCCTCTGGGCGGGACGGCTTAACCGGGAGTCCTGCCCTGGGCAGGGCTTGGGCCTCATGGCCTCGTGGGCCCCAGGAACTCTACTCCCCTGCGAGTGTATGATCACAGGGTCGATTTATGGACAGGATTGCCAGCCAAGGAACCACACGTCCTCAAAGGCACCAAAGGGTGTCGTGGGCGCAGGTCTCCATCCCTGCCTTTTCTTGCCTGAACAGCAAGGTAGCAAGTACTTCAAAATGGCCTCACGGACCATCCCGTTACCTGCTATTCCTCCTCCTAAAAGACTCAGCCGGACCAGATGCCGACTCACACAAGCCTGCGGTGCCACCTCGGAGGCGTGGAAGCGGGGAGAGCTGACGGTCCACCCTTTTCCGGGGAGAGCTGTGTGCTGGCCCCTGGGCCAAAGCCAGCCTTCCAGGTCTTCCCGGCGGGCTCTGCCCCATCCCCAGATGGGTGGTGTGTTTCTCCATCCCAAAATCTCAAGAGCCACTCCCAGGGCTCAGTTCTGGCTGCCTGCCCCTTTCCGTAGGCCCTGCCCACCTGGGCTGTGCGGCCCCAGGAGCTCTCGCAGATCCCAGCCCGTGGGCTGCCAGAGGCTGACGCCCCGCTGAAGAGCACCTGGAGACCGTGGGACACGGACAGACGGACAAAGAGCCACGGGTGGCCGCGCTGGAGCCGCACCCTCTGTTAAGTGGCCTGCTGGTTAAACCAACTTCTAACAGTAAAAAGACCTTCCTCTGTCCAGGGCCTGAGCGACAGGAGGCCTTCGGAAAACATGCGTGGCAGAGAGGCCATGCGCGATCCTGCTAACCCAGAAACTTGATCTCTGTAAGGGAAAACGACGCGCGCGCGCGCGCGCGCGCACACACACACACACACACAGGGAGCGAGAGGAGACTTCCCACCGCAGCAGGGTCTTTGGTTTTGAAAAGCAGGCGGCTTTGGAAACGTAGCGCGGCCGGCCGAACCGGGCCCGCCCCCCTTGCGTGGGAGACCAGCTCTTCCGAGCTCAGCACAGGCTGCTCGCCCAGCCGGGCGTCTTGGCCGCCCTCACCCATCCACCCGCGCCTGGCTCCCAGCTGGAGCCAGAGGTGAGAGCAGGGGAGCAGAGGGGAGCTGGGGGCGGCCAGCCAAGGGCAGCCCAAACCGCCGGAGCGGGTGCACCTCACGGCGTCTGGCCTCCCGCGTGCCGGCCTCGTGTGATGCCAGCCGCCTCGCCAGTGCGCCTGGGGTTTTGTCGGGGCGACTGGCAGAGCGCCACTGACCGTGCATGGCCTGGAGGACACGACAGCCTCCCGTGGGCGCTTCTGCCCCGGGCGTGGGCTCCAGTCCCACAGGCCTGGCGGCAAAACAGCTCCGCTTCTTCGGGCCAGGGAGGCCTCGGAACAAAGAGCAACGCAAGAAGAACCACGGCCCACTCGGCTTGCCTTGCGCCGCTCGGTGAGCTCACGGCACTGCACCGGAAACCCAAGGATGGGGGCCGACTGCCAAGCCTTTCCCAGACTAAGAGGTTCTGGAGCAAAAGAGCTTCTTAGGCTGGAAGAGGGCAGGGAACCCACGGTTACGTTTTCATTGCACAAGGCTGGAACGGATCCGCTTTCATGGCAAAAGGATGAGAAAGGTCACAACAGGAGGCGAGCGGAAAGAGCGGGCTGCAATGAAGGCCGGGAAGGCCGGCGGTCCCCATTTCTGCTCAGACCGGTGCTCCTCAGCAGCAAACCTAACGCGGAAAGGATAGGTTTGGGGGTTTTTAGGGTGTGCCCTGCTTCATGGTGCAGAAGCCGCCCCGACGGCAGCTCCCCACCAGGCCTGGGAAGAAAGGCTGCCGGGTGGAGACCGTGTGCCTTCCTGGAGCAGAACGGTCCTGGTGGAGGCTGTTATTCCTGCTCCTGGGCCCTTTTCTCGGAAAAAGATACAAGGTATCTTGCAAGAGGGAATGCAGTATTCGCTTATTTGTTCAATAGGTATGTTTGAAATATTTACTAAATGTTTATTCTCTGCGTAAATATTTACTACTTTACTGAAATGCTTGAAAGACTTCTCTGTTTGAAATAAAATTCCAAGACCTGATAAAAGATCCAGTCGAAGGCGTCAGTCGCAGACTCTCCAATGCGCAGAAGCACTCCAGAGACGGCGCTCCTGCCCCAGGCGGGCTCCCAGGGAGGAGTTGCCGCAGTTCAGGGGCCACCCCTAAAGAGGCCCTCCCCTGGGGCCCTGCTCCAGAACGCCCCCATCCCCGAGGAAGCGCTTGGAGGACGTCCTCCGGGTCCGGGCTCCTCCGTGGATCACCCCGGCCTCTGCCAGTCGGGCGCACTCATCCTGGGGGAGCGGCGCCCCAGGCCCAGTGGGGTACTCACCCGGTAGGCGGCCTCGCGCATGAACTGCTTGGCTGGCTGCTTCCAGATGGCCGGCACGGTGATCACCCACCGGATGGCGTCTCTCTCCGGCAGCACGGGGCACTGGTCCCGGAGCTCCTGGGAGGGAAGGAGGCACGTCTAGCCTGGCGGAGCTGTGGGGGGGGTGGCTGGGGAGAGCCGGGCGCCTGCCCTTCCTCAGGCCACACCATGCAAGTGCAGCCCCCGGGCACTGGGCTGGGGGCGCATTTCTCGGCAACCTGTGCAGCTGGACACGCGGACGCCTGAGCCTTGACGGCTCCCCGGGCGCCTGGCTGGAGCTCCTTGCCCAGCCTTTGGAGGGCCCCCTCGGCGGACTCGGGGCTGCGGGATGCAGCTCGAGCCGAGAGACAGCAGGAGTGGCCGGATGCCCCGAGGGGGCTGCTTGGGAGCCCCGACTGCCATCAGCCCTTGAGGGGGAAATGCATGCTGCCTGCCCACGCAGGGTCCAAGTCACCCCCTCTCGTAAGGACCACCCCCCATGCCACTTCCCACCAAACCAGCTCACTCCCCCCCCCACGTGGCAGGGTGCCCACAGTGCTGCAGGGACCTCTCTCCCAGTGGCCGCCCAGAGGAGCCCCCGAGGCCGATCTGGGTGACCGCGCAAGCGGCCGAGCCTGCGCCTCCGGGGCCTTGTGCCAGGCTCCCCAGGCATGGCTCCCAGGATGCCTCTGAGGTGGGGCTGCCCCGAACGCCCGCCAGCTCCAGAGGGGCAGCCAGCTCCGAATGCAGCTGCAGGATTCTGCGGGAAGCCACGTGCCCGGCTAGCTCGGATCCCAGCCCTTGAGCCTGCCATCCCTTGGCTGCTGGGCTCTGTGCAAGGTCCTGGCTCAGCCTGCAAAGCTGGAGGTGGCCTGGACCTGCCCGCCCCTGGCGCTCCTTGCCTCACCCCTGCCCTGCTGCCCGGCCGAGCCTGGAAAGGCCACTGGGTCTCCCTGCCAGCCAGACAATGCCCGGAAGGGTCTTCTGGAAACAGAACCTCTGTCCTGGGACGAGGGGGAAGCCGTTGGACGGGCTATTCTTGCAAGAATCACCAGAGAGGTGCGGGTCAAACCAGGGGAAAGGGCGGGGGAGGGGCAGGCTGCAGCAGCAGAGGCGAGGCGACATTTGGAAAGGGGAACAGAGGAATCACATTTCGGGAAAAAGGTGCCCTGAGGCTTCTCATGCAGCACCCCAGTCACTGTGGCCAACTGGTGGCCTGCGAAAAACCCACAAGCAGGACATGAGGGCAAGATCACCCCTTCACCTACGTTTGCCAGCAACCGGTAAGTGCAGGCAGCCTGCCTGCACCCCTGGGTGTGGCATGGAGTCATGAGGACTAGCAGCTTGGGGAAAGATTAGAAATGCAGAGGAGAGGCTTCACCTGGGGAAGAAACTGAGGAAGGGATGGGGCAGGATCTCTCACCCCAGAGCAGAAGCGGCAGCTGGTATAAGGGCTTCTTCTGACAGCCAAAGAGCTACGCAAAAATGTTGTGCTCTGCCGCGCTCGGCCTCTGCACTCAGGGCAAGTGCCCCTGGCAGCCCCCGCTCACCTTCACCGCCTGTTGCTTGAAGAAGCGGAGCGCGTGGGCAAAGACCTCCAGGGCCGGCACCTTCTTTCCGTTCACTGCTTCCAGCTCGGTTTTCATGGTCAAGTCCTGGCAAAATGGGACCCCCCCCCAAAAAAAGATGTTAGCCTCAGAAAGCCCACGTGCCGCGTTCTGGAGAGCCCCCTCACCCGGCTTTTCAAGTCCCAGCCTTGGACCTGGAGGACCCGGAAGACAGGTGGGGGGCAGAAATCCTGCTGGGGAGAGCACAGAAAGGAAGAGAATCCATCCTGGGAGGGCCCTTGCCTCCAGTTCCCGAAACCCAGGGGAAATTTCCAGGGAAGGCAGGGGGGAACCAGAGACCCCTACCCTTGACTGCAGAACAATGGGATCCCACTGTCGTCTCCCGTCTTTGGAGGTGCTCCAGTCCAGCCCTCTGAGAAAGGGGCGAGGCTGCAGCAAGACCCTTCCTGACACGAACGGCCACCCAGCCCCTGCGGCCACCCCCCCCCCACCCCCCAGGCCAGCCCTTCCCCTGGCAAGCGGCCCATGCCATTTGGACGGTTCTCCCAGTTGGGCTGCAGCCTGCTTCCTGCAGCGTCCACCCACTGTCCAGTCCCACTCCGTGGGGCGATGCAGGACAAGCTCGCCCCATCTTCTGCACCTTTCCGAGAGCGGAGGGCGGACAGCGCCTCTCCTTCCCAGCCCCCTGTCCTCTGGGCCTGCCCTACGGAGCCCTTTCCACCAGTCCTCACAGCATCTGGTTTGCAGATCCCTCCCCACCCAGGTCAGCCTCCTTCCACACGTTCCAGTTCGCCAGCACCCTCCCCGTGTGTCGCCACACAGCCGCCTTCCCCGCCCACTGGCCACGCTGTCCCGAGACGGAGCGGGAAGCTCGCCCCTGCGACAGCGGGCACCAGGTTGGGGAAGCTCGCCCCTGCGACAGTGGGCCCCCGCCCCCCCCCCCCCCCCGCCAGCAGAGCCGGCCTCCACAGGTGAACTCACGCTGGTGCTGTGGATCTTCATCTTAAACTTTTCGAAGTACAGCCAGTCGCGAGCCTCGTCCGGGTCGAGGTCGTGGTAGTAATCCCTGGCCGTGTAGCCGAAGCTGTGGAAGGCCCCTTCCGGAGTCAGGAGCAGGCTGGTGGGGGTCTTTTGGTGGGCGATTCCGGGGTCCCCTCCTTCCCACTTTCTGCAATCATGTCCAGAGAAAGAGGCCATGTGCTCTGGGACACTATTGCTTTCCTTTTGCTCTTTCTGCGACTCGAGTAATGCATTTGCACAAACCCAAGAACATTGCAAATCAACGCCAGCAGACGCAGCTACAGGACGGGGAATTAGGCTCAAGCACGGCTCCGTGCACATCCGTCAGTGTGGGCCTTTCCACGCCAGTGGTCCCTAGCCCTTCCGAGCCATTGATTTTCTGTAATCAGCTGGAGGTGGATTTAAAACAGAGATTCCGCGCAAACACGCCATGCGGTGCTGAAAGGCCAGCCGTGCCCTTGCGTGGCCGAGACCGGCCTGAAACTTTCAGGCAGAACTATGTCCCCGTCAGTCAAGATTTCTGGCAAGAGCAGGTTCTCTCTCTCCTGCCACGGCTCCCCTTCCGGGTGCACAGGCGGGGAAAGGCTGGCCTCGCATTCACGTCCTGCCCGTTTGGCTCCTGCGAGGAACCCAGGGTGGCCTGTGGGTTGATGAAGGGCCTCGAAATTTCCCCGGGAATGCCTCCTCTTTGCCCCGCTCTGCCACTTTCCCCTTCCCATAAGGGATGAAAGGAGCAATTTGAATATCATTCCTCATTGTCACCACCACCGCAATCAAATGTCATTGTGAAATAATATTTTAGACTGAAATAATGTTACAAATCAACTCCACACATCCAGCAGGGCGGCTGTTCCGCACAATCACATGCCTGGGCGTGATGGGAGTCGGCATCCAAACCGTGGAGGATGCAAGTTGGAGAACGCTGGTTTGGAGCCGCCCTTCTGGCTTGCAGGGCCGTTCCCACTTGCACTGAGCGGGGCCTGTGCAAGAGCCGCTCTGTGGATTCTGCCAGCCGCGTTGTGAACCCAAAGCACACCACCGGGACTGCAGGATTTGACTGGGGCTGCCCAGGCAGCAGGTCCCGACCGAAGGGGAGCTCTGCTGCAGACGCACCACTGAACTGGCCTGGACCCCTTACCCAGGGGGCATTCGGCAAACGTCCCCCACCAGCTTCCCACAGGGGGGATTTCAGATGGGGGCTCGCAGGGGAGGGACAGAGGGGGGAGCCGAATGCGAGTATCGCTGCAAACGTCTATTCTGGCGCGGCAAAATACCTCATCATGTGGATGGCTTCCGGGTCACTGGTGAAGCTGAAGGCGTAGCCACTGGAGGTCGTGCCGAAGTCGATGGCCACCACCACGGAGAAGGGCGTGGATCGGCACATCCGGATTTCATTCCGCTGGAAACACGAGGCAGAGGGTTCGGGGCCTGGCGGGAGATGCCGCCCAAGCCGAAATGCAGAACCTGCGCTTGGCCCGAGCCTGGAGGAGAGCGTGGCATTCTCGCCAGCCTCCTTTCAAGCCCTCCTCCCCGCATTTGGTAAGCTAGTGCCCCAGAGAGAGACGCTTCACGTAACCTGAGGCACTAGTTTATTAACGTGCAAGGTGATTTTTATTCGGGGCAGCATTTAAAAAAATGACATCCCACCTGGCTGACCAGAATCCTAGTTGATCAGTTGAAGTAAACAAAACAAAACAAAACATGGAGCCAGGAGGGTTTCCTAAGCCATCCCCCCCCCCCCCGGTTTGCTTGTCTAACCCTGGACACAGAGAGCCCAGCTAGTCATGACTGCGAGGGGGGGTAAGATTTTGCTGCAAGAAAGCCAGACCAGTGTATGCCTGCTTAAGGCTCTCTCCTTAGTGACGGTTTTGAAAACGTGGCTGGAAACGTGGATAAGAAGAAAGCTCATCAGAGCAAACTGTTTGCTTCTCCCCTTTTCATTCCCCTTGGGGGGGGTCGCTCCATAATGCGGGGGCAGGGACCCTGGGGGTGGCCGCACTTGGCCCCCTCTGCAGTGCCAAAGGGCAGCTCACGGCTCCACGTTGGAGGAAAGAGGAGCAGTGCCAGAAAAGCTGCTCAGCTGAGGGAATCTGTCAAAGGGAAGCAGATTCAGATTTTGCCTGCTCCTTCCCGAGTCTTTCCTCTGATCCACCCTTGCTAAGCTTTTATCTACCATGAAGAGGGCGAGATATTGTTACCGAAAAGGAGCGCCGGGAGCTTCCATGTTCTTTCATGGCCATAAGCGATTCTGTTGTTTTGAGGATGCAACGGGGACATTTGGTCTACCCCTGGCCCCACTGACGTTGCAGCCACCCTGCAAAGCTATCCGGGGCTACTAGCCCGGCTGGCCGCGGGCTCCCTCCTTCCCCAGAGGCGGCCTGCTGAGCAGCTGGGCAGGAGGCCTTGCGCCGTCAGTCCGGCTTGAGGGATCCTCTGGCAGCTGGGTTGCCAGGGCGTGAGCAGAGTGCTGGACCGGACGGAGCTTTGGCCTGGCCCTGCAGGGCTCTCGCGTGCTTATTACCCAAGCATCCACGCCAGCATTCAGGGGAGGGGAAAGAGCACTTCTGCTTCGGGGGACCTGGGCTTGAGGAGCAGGCTGGTTCTTAAGCCACGAGCGCTTCCTGCTTACCGGAGACGGTGACGGCGTGAGTGGAGCAATGGTGCAGCTCTCGTTGTGGAGCCCGGGGGAGCGCGGCGGCGACGGAGTGCGGGACTTTTCGCCATTTGTACCTGGCAGACAAGAAGAGGCAGACGTTGGGGAGCTCCTTGATCCCCACACCTATTTCTCCAGGTGGTCAGGAGTGGAATCCAAGCGTGTCGGTTCGGATGCATCCTAAATGGCCCGTGCAGGTGCGAGTGGGCAGACGGGCCAGTGACGTGCAAGGCAGGGAGAGCACACTCTTACCAATGCTACCCTGACGGGGGGGAAAGGGCACCATCGCAGCTTTCAAGCTCCAAATCATCTGCCAGTTCCCAAAAGGACCTGGAGCAACTGGACCCCCGCTTCCCCCTCGATGCACTGGGGAGAGAAGAAGCCTCTATGCAGCAGCACTTCCGGTGCGCCAAGCATGCGCCAGTCTCAGTATGACTCATGTTACAAATCTGATGCGCTTAAATGCCCCCTTCGAAGAGTCCCCAGCACGGAAGGTGCCAAAGATCCCCGCAACCTGGTGAAAGGAAACCCACCGGCCTTTTAGGCGTGCGGTGGAAAGGAAGTGGAGCGCCCCTCGGGAAAGCGCTGCCGAGAGACAGGAGGCGGAGTGGAGCACCGTGGGAGACCTTTGCTCATCCACAGTGAGTCTCTGAATCAGATCTTTGCCTCCCATGGGATTTACCCTGAGCCTGGAGCTAATGAAGCTGGAGAAGAGTCAGCCCCATGTGGAGGCACCCTCAGCACCCTGCAGCAGCTGGCAGGCAGTTCTTTGTTCCCTGGGGAAGTCCGGAGAGAGGAGAGGAGAGGAGAGGAGAGGAGAGGAGAGGAGAGGAGAGGAGAGGCAGACCCTTCCTCCACCTATCCTCCATGTCTGGACTCAAAGCTGCAGCAGAGCAGTGGTGCAGAGCACAGGACGGGAACTCAGGCGATCTGGCTCTGGTCCCTGCTCAGCCATGAGTTCACTGGGTGACTCTGGGCCAGCCACAGACTCTCAGCCCAACCTACCTCACAGGGCTGTTGTTGTGGGGATAAGAGTGAGAACAGGAGAAGGAGAACGATGAAAGCTGCCGTACAGTTCCTTGGAAGAAGTAAAGGTGGGAAGTCAGTACAATAAATGGCTAAATAACCCTACCGGGGAAAGGAGCCCACGATTCGGACAGGTAACTCCAGCGGCCCTCTCACTCCCTGGCCAAGCCAAGGCAAGCCACTCATTCCGACGCGTGAGCCAGGAGGCCCCCCCAGCAGGGAGAAGCAATGTGCACTGCCCCTCGTGCGTCAGCCACAGCCCTGGCCCAGCCTGGCCGTCGCTTCCCTGCTGGCGAGCATCTCCCAACCCGCCTGCCAAAGTGGAGACGCCTGGGGCCGCACCAGCAGCACCGCTGCCGGGAACCCATGAGCTCAGAAGCGCCCGAGCACCCGCCGCTGCCAGGTGATGAACCTGGTCCGGCCAGTCTGAAGCAGCGAGTGGTAAAGCCTCTTTTGGACTGTACCACAGCAGCTTGCCGTGGGAGGAGGTATTTGCCAGTGCTTCCCCATGGGCTGAAGGAGACTTGCAGCGGGCGGCACGTCCGGGAGAAGGGCACCTTCTCCGTCAAAGTGCTTGACATTGTTTGCTTGTGGGTGGGGGGCTGGCCCACTTAGACCCTTGAGGGAGTGCCCTGGGTGCTGCGGCAAAATGGCCACCCCGCGGGTGCCCATTTGCAGAATGGCTGTCATGGTGGGCAAAGCCAGGAGCAGAACACTCTTTTCCCAGAAGGCAAGCCAGGAAAGCGAGAAGAAAAGCGGTTTGCACAAGAACAAGACAAGGCAGAGAGGCTGGGCCTGCGCTCCCAAACACAAAACCACGGCTTGGCGCCCAAATCAAAATACTGCTGGGGGTCACAACTCAATTTGCAGCCTGCTGGCCTCCCAATTAAAACATCCTGAGAAATAAAATAACAATCAGACCACAGGCCTCTTCTTTCCCCCGCTGTGCAGCTTTTTGCTGTGTGGGGAAAGAGATGCTCAGGAAAATTACTCAAGAACAGCCACACTGAAAAGAGGAGGCTGCTTCCCTGGCTAATTGCAAGGGCGTCGGTGCCCCCGCCCCGCCCCTCTTCATCTCTTTTGCTCCTTGCTACTGCCTGATGCACGGATCCTGCCCAGGCAGCCCCCAAGGCGATTCCGGCACCCCCAGGCCACCGCCAGCCCAGGCCACCGCCAGCTCAAAATGGCCCACAGGAGGAACAGCGCCACCAGGCAGGGCCGCATGCACAAATTCACCCACATCGGACTCGTAGACTCATAGAATAGCAGAGTTGGAAGGGGCCATGAAGGCCATCTAGTCCACCCCCTGCTGCCGCAGGACGAGTCACTCCATGCCACTCAGGTGGCTGCCCAGTTTCACCCTGAATGGCTCCAGTGTGGGAGAGCCCCCACCTCTCCAGGCAGCTGGTTCCCCTGTCGTCTTGCTCTGCCGGGAAACCGCTCCCGATTTCTAGCCTGAATCTGGGCTGTGGCAGCTGGACTTGATTACCGCGTGCAATGCGCTCTGGTATCAGCAAGGAGAGAGCCTGACCTTCCAGCAGCCTTCGCCAGGGGCTTTTGGGGAAGCGCGGGCGTGGAGCTGCAGCCCGGGAGAGCGCGCCCGACCACCCCGTGCGGAGGCGCGCGCCCTCCCGCCCGTGGCCAGAGCCGGCCGTGCGGAGCCCCTTGCCCGCCTGCCCACGCACGCCGCCCCGTCCCGCGCCCGTCGGCACCTCGACCGCACGCCCCTCCCGGCGCATGGGTCCAATTAGGCGGGCGCGTTAATTGCTCCCCGCCCGCCCCCCCCCCCCCCGCGGAGCGGCTCCTTGGCTGACAAGTTCCAGCTGCGGGGCGGCGCGGAGGCGGAGGCGAGGCGAGGAGGGGCTGCCTCGGCTTTGTCCCGCCGCCTGCTGCCCGCCCGCCCGCCCGTGGGGCCTCTCCCGGCGCTGGCGAGGGGCGGCCCGGGCCGGGCCGGGGCGCCGGGGCTCAGCCTGGGTCGCCAACGCGTGAGACGCCCCCGCAGGAAAGGGGGGCAGCCCCCACCAAGGGCCACCAGTGCGGGGCGGTCGTCACCCTTCCAGCCGTGTTTTGGCAGGGACGAGTGAGGGGGGGGGGGCAGGCGGCAACGGAGCTTGCCAGGTGCCCAGCCTGGCCCCGCGGGCACGGGGGCACCCGCTAATCAGGAGCCGCTTCTGGCCTGGGGCCAGCGCTCCCCTGGGCCGTCCGCCATCCGATCTGCACCGGGGAGCGCCCCACTGCCCCGCAGAGCGCAGCAAGGGTGTGGGGCCTCGGTGCGCAGAGGTAGGGGCTTGGCTGGGGCCTGGAGGCAAGGCCCTGTCCCGGGCTAATGCAGTCCGCCCGGGGATCCACCCTGTGATCCACCAGGGACCACTGGGAAGGGTATGGGTGCCTCCCCCAGCCTAAGGCAGGGCATGCAACCCCCGGGCCCTGCCAAGCCCCCTTCGGCCTCTGAGCCGGAGTCTCCGGACGCCTGCTAGAAACTCCCAGACCTCCACCGGGCCCCTCCCCTGCCCCCCTCACCGAGGCAGCGATTTTAAAAGAAGCGCAGCCCTCTGAGACCACCAGCACCCCGACAAGGCAGCTTTGGGGGGTCGGTTGCTCCACCGTTGTGTCTCTGAAAAGCTGCACTTCATGATCCCATTAAGAATGAGCTTTTTGTCCTTTCCCAAATGGGGCTCCTGGGATTAGTCACAGGAGCGTCGCGGCTGGAGCAGCATCGCCTCGTGGCTCCTCGGCTGCTCCTTAAGTGAGTTTTCCTGTCTCCAGTGGCTGTTGTGTTAATATTTCATTTGTAACAAAAAGGAGAAGTCAAGCAGGCGTTTGAAAGAAACTGGCATGGAAGCGCTGCTGGTCCTGCAGGGGTGGGGCAGCCCCACACTGGCCTTCCGACGGGTGTTTGTGCGAGGAGCGGAAGGGGGTCCCTTCAAAAGGGACTCGGTTTAAAGCATAAGCAGCGTCTCTGGCAATGCGCTGAGGCAGCCACATTCCTGCAAACAAGATTCGGTGCAAAACGATGCAAAGCTCCCAGTAAATAAGACGATGGCATTTGTAAATAATGCATCGCCCAAGGAGTGAGCCGTTTGGGCGCCCGGACTGCACTGTGCTAAAGGGATGACGGAGGCCTGCACCTAGGCGATCCTGCCTCCTCCCCAAGCAAGCGTTGCTTTCTCCTGGCCCCGGCGGGCTGGCTGGATGCTCCGCTGCTCCCCACCCCTGGACTGGGCGGCTGTGAGGAGGGTCAAGGCTCGCTGAAGCCTCCGCGTTGGCCACAGGCCAGCTCCTGATTCCTGGGATTTCCGGAGGTGTAGCCTGCACAGTTTCAAAGCATACCTGGGCAGCCATATGGGCTAGAAGCTTTAATTCTTGTAAATGAAAACTAGGGTATTTTCATGCAGTGTAAATATATGCATCAAAGGCTGGGCTTCACTCTTGCTCCTGCAAACCTGTGGCACATACATGCATACGTACACACACAGAGAGAGAGAGAGAGAGAGAGAGAGAATGAGAGAGAGAGAGCCAATTCTAATCTAAAATAGGATAAAAAGTGAAATAGACTGAAAGTCAGCAGCTCTGGGAGAGGGCTGCATCGAGAGAGAGAGGGAGAGATGGCCTGGCAAAGGTACTTCAGCATGCTTCATATCACAGCTGCTCCAGTGCCCCGTGGGCATCATGCCCAGAACATTTCCATCAGATTGCGCTGCCCCCGTTTTGCATAATGGTACGGGACAAGCCACCCCGTCCCGGACGACCTCTGGGCTTCCAGCCGCACCAGCGCTGTGCCCATTCACTGTCTTGGTTCATCAGTGGGTAGGCCGGTTGCACTGCATCTGCCAGTCTCACAAGCTTCCTCCCTCCCGCAGCCGGGCTCCTCTCGGACGCCCACCCCTTCGGAGAGGGTCCCAGCTCTCCTGCCTGCTGGGAAAGGCCAGGCTTCTCCCATTAATTTACAATCACCCTTCTGTAGGTTTTTGTTATGCTGCATTTAGGGCCCGCCTTTCCTCCTCTCGTAAGGATGCCAAGACGCTCACAAGGTTCTCTTCCTCTCCATTCCATCCCCACAACACCATCCCAGCGAGGCGGTCGGGCCGAGAGGCAGCGCTGGGCCCTAAGCCACCCCGTAAGCTGCAAGGCTGAGTGGGGGCCAGAGCACGGCTCTCCTAGGTCCAGCACCCTCACCACTGGGACACAGCACCAGCGTCGACCGTGGCTTTTGGTTTGCAGCTTTTAATGAGTGCGGGTGTCTTATAATTCTGTTCATTTGCTTTGTGCGATTCCCCCCTTCACTGCCGCACTGCAAACGCACAACTGAAGGAAAGGCACCCAGCAGGATCTGAGAAGAGGCAACGGATCGAGCCCACGCCTCCGAAGGTCCCTCTCTAAGCAGCCATCCCGCTTGGCTCCCTGGTTCTAACGTTGGCTCAGCAGCGTCTTCAGACGCTTAAATATTTCTCAAAAGCTCAGAAACGAGGCGCAGCCGAGGCTACCGGATCAAAATATCAGAACCAGTCAACCCCGCTTTTCCTTGCCTTGGCCTGAGACCAGCAACGGGGATGTCAGCAACGGGCGGGCCCAGCCCAGGAACCGCCTGAGGCGAAGGGCAAAACGTCACCTGCCAATCTGGGCAGAGGCGGGTGTGCGGGCAGCGCTGCCAAAGCGCCCGGGCCCAGCAGGGCAGCTGTCCTTTTCGACGCCTCACTCCGCCTCACGGCAGGGCCAGCCCCGCTCTTCAGAGGGCTGGGCTGCTTGCCCAGGGGGCCGGGCCAGCCCTGCCGTGAGGCGGAGGGCACCCGGAGGCCTGGACTGAGAAGGGCACCGCGGGGGCACACCTGCCCTCTTCGCCTCAAACGCACCGCAAACGCACCCCAACGGTCTGCAACATGCAAGTCTGATGCCAAAATCCTTCTGCAGGCTGAAGCCTCGGCTAATGGCAACGGAAACCTGCCCCACTGGGCACAAAATGGGAGAGAAGGTGGGGGAGCGCCCCGCCACCAACAGAGCGAGGCTCCGGAGCAGATACTCAGGGGTTTGATGGCCAGCTGGCCAAGATGGAGAACACTCTTCGCAGGGGGAACAGCTGAAGAACGTGTCCCGGTGCCTCCGTGGGCACACAGATCCAGTTCCTCGGCTGCGCAGGTCCTGGCCATAAGTTTGGAAATCAGGTGATTATATGAATGCTCCTCTGGGCCTTTGATGCATTTAATGGGTGCCCCCTGGGGCTGCAGTGTTTCCTGGTTGTTAAGCAGACTTAGTGGCTCCCTGAACTGCGGAGGATGGTCTGCGTGGGGCGTCTGGTATCCTGTTGCCCTTCCAAAGCCAAGGGCTACACGAAATAGGCTCCAGTCCCGGGATCAGCCGCCACAAGCAGAAAGCTGTTGACGTCTCCGCGCCATCGTGCATTTCCTTACCAATCTGGAGCGTGTGCATCGTGGGTTCAAGAAGCGTGGACATCCTCAGGTCCCCTTCGGCTGAAAAACAGGCCAAATGGTCAAATGATACGGCGCCCTTGATAGAGGCTCCTTTTGAGACAACTTCAGGCAGGTTTATCTCGAACAGCCTGGTCCCAAACGCTTCCCGAAGGCTGCCAAATGCGGAGCGCAGCCACCTGTGCCTGGACACATGCCCTCCCTTCTCGGGGGGCATCTTCTGCCTGCCAGCCCCCACTGGCCTGGGGCTGGGCATGGAGCGCAGGCGTCATCATGCCATCGAGGGGGGAGCGCCCCTCCTGACATCCGCACCCAGTTGTTCGCCTTCCAGATGTGCCGGATGACCGTCACCATGGGAATCAGAGATGGGTGGCACCCAGTGGGAGCTGTTTCGGATGACAACTTCCAGCATTCCTGAGCCCTGGCCGTTTTTGCTGGGGCTGATGGGGGCGGAGGCCGCTTGGGTGGACAAGTCTGGCTCTGGTTCCGTATTCCTGAGTAGTGATACTGCGAGATTGGATTCCTGTTGGAACAGAGGTGGGCAACCGTCTGCCCCCAGCCCAATTTCAAGCGCCCCCTGCAGGTGACTCTTCCCTCCCCGGTACACAGGCCTCTTTGGGAATTCCCTGTCAGGATATGGGTGGATTTGCGGACTCTCTCCAAAGTAAACACGGATCTTCCTGTCTCAGCACTCAAGGGGCCAGAACACCTGCGACTGCCTGTGCGTTTAGGACAGGCAAAGGAAGCGCGGCCCACGTGGTCGTCCTCGCTGCAAAGGGCACGGCACCATTTCCGTCAGACGCTGAGGGCCTCCGGCACGGGGCCGAGCAGAACGAAGGGGCTTAGGCCGTCCCTGTGCGGGGCTGGCGCAATCAGTGCGCAAAAGCAACAGTCCACCTAATGGAAATGCCTCGGCCGGAAGCGGTGCGCACCGATTGCCGGAGGCCGGGACGCACCACAGGAAGGCGCAGGCCGTGCCCTGCTTCCCACGTACGGCCCCGGAGGGAGGGCCCCGTGTCCGGTGCCGAGCTCGTCCCGAGTGGGACAGTTTCCACGAGGGTGTCTCCCTATAAACAGCGAGGCAGGAACGGGTGGGTCGGCAAGAGAGAACGAGCGCGGAGCTATCTCTGCGGCTCGAGGAGGGGCCTGTTTGGCACGGGGGACCTACAACCCCGACACAGAGGCCGGGGTATCATCAGGTGCTGCCGCAGTGAAGAGGCTGCCCTTGGGACAAACCTCAGTGCTGCGCTCACTCACGGCCTTTCAGGCTCCGGCTGCGCCCAGCCACCCCCAGCACACTCTCCGCTTGATACCGTGGCCCTGATGAGGGTGGCAGTATGTTGCGCGGCGCCCCGGGTGTGATTTTATGGCTCCCAGGATTTTTGATGTGGCTGGGGCTGATGGGAGTTCAAGCCCCCAATGCCTGGAGGACACCTGGGTGAGGAAGCCAGGCTGAGTTTCGCTTTTGGGCTCAGGCACCAAACCGGGTTTGAATGTCTGGCCTCCATTTCCAGAGGGTGCATCGCAACAAAGAAAAAGACCTCTGAGCAGGTGCAGACTACCTTTTCTTCAACTCACCCTACCCTCCTGTATCTGGACTTCTAATCAAAAGGGTACAGCCCTTCGGCTCAAGGCTCCATCCTCCCATTCAAAACAGGGAAGGGCAATTTTTTGGGGGGGGGGATTGTCCCCCAGGGCATACCCCTGCCCCCATCATGGCTGGTTTTTGTTTGTTTGGCTCCACAATTCTGCAGTGGCACAGCAGCAGAAATGGGTCTATTTTAATTTTCAGCCAGTACATCATGGAATTATTATGCTCAATGGTTTATTGATATGACCCAACTCAGTGATCCTATGAAACCCTCAGCTTCTTTCTGAAGAGAGAAAATTGCCCCCTTTTGCTGCTTATGCCCCAATTTTGGTGACAAATATGGCAGCAGGGGTGAGGGCAAGAAAGAAGGGGGTGGGGAGGCCCATGTTGCCCAGCCCTGCTTTAAAGCGCAGTATTTTAATTTAAGCATCTTTAAAGTGACTGCCCACAACGAGCAGCGCTCCTTGCACTCCCCTTTCCACGTTTTGCTTCTCTCCTGTCTTTCATATGTTCACCTCTTCAACCTCACTTTGGTTAGTGAAAGTATTCTGTTCCCTGTGATGCAAAAGGCAATGCGAATACAGATTATAATTTCCATCTGTGAGATCAAAGGGCATCGCTGCAGAAAGAACCACAAAAGTTGGATGGGTTGAAGCTGCCTCGTTCCCCTGCCCTGGTGGAAAAACACACCGCAGTTTGAGTGGAAGCCAGTCAAACAACCCCCAGCTCACATCAAGGATCCCTGCTTCTTCCTGGAGCGATTTTTGGCATGCAGAAGCCCTGGCCCTGCAGCCCCCACCGTCCTGCAAAACATGCTCACGAAGTTCGCTGCTGGAGGATAGGGCTTCTGGACACTTCAACGATCTGCTTTCCGCAGCGGAGGGGCCAGAACTGAACCCGCCGAGCGAGACCTGACTGAGGACGCGAATCTTTGCAGGCTGCAAAGCTCATGGCTGCGAAGGACTGGAAACCGCCCAGGATCCTACCGAGCGCAGCAGCCTTCCTGACCTGGCACGCTCCAGATGTGTTCGGTTACAACTCCCAACGTTCCCAGCCAGCATGGCCATTGGACGCTGTAGTCCGAAACATCTGGAGCGCCCCAGGTCAGGGGAGGCTGGAAGAAAGCGCGGCCGAGAGAGAAAGCCCCCAGTGGCGGCAGAAATGAGCGCCGTGGTTCGTTTCCGAGGGTGGGACAGGGAGAAGATGGAAACGTTTGGCTGCTGAGGCCTCCTTCGCTGCGTGCCAGGATAAATGCTTTCGCAGAACAGAAACCAACAAGCTTTGCTTTGCATGTCCGGCCTGTTGCTAGCCGGTGATTCAGGATGTAACCGATGCCGGAACGACAGGAAAACCTTCCCATCCAGGGCCCTGCAAAGGTTCGTATTTCGGCACCCAGCTTCACAGCCCGGCCAGCAACACGGCAAGCGCTGGGAATCTGGGAGCTGCAGGCCACGGATCCATCAGGCCCCCATCTGGGGCAGGCTCAGGGCTAAAACGGTGGGGGAAAGCACACACCTGCAAGCTGTGCCCCCGAGTCTCCCCACGTCAGTCCCGGGCATTCCCTTGTTGAGCCACAAGGCCCAAAGAGGGTTCCAGTTGCTGATCTGGTGGGCAGCCGGGCTGGAAGCCTTCGCGCCAGGCGAGCACGCCCTCAGCCCACTGGCCTGCCACACTGGTCTATGGCCCACATGTGCCATAGCCCGCCCTTGCACACCAGGGACCCCGGGCAGGGAACACCAGCTCTGTGCAGCGGAATTATCAGTACAATCAACCCACAGGCAGACGCGATCTTGTCTCTGCGCCCCCCCACCCGAAACCCGAGTAAGCACACGGGTCTTCACCGAGCACCTAAATGACAACGGCACGGAGGACGACCCAATCTTATTTGTTGAGTTAGTTACAATTAGCTTTTATATGCCACCTAATATTCCACGTCAAGACAGTGAACAGTGATTTTAAACAGCAGCACGTTAAAAAGAATCACAAGCATTAAAGTGACACATTTCAACAGGCCAAAATGGAAAGTCCGAGAAAGCAAAGGGCAATTGTAGTTCCTGAAATCTCTATTGAAAGAGTCCCACCGCAGGAGGAGCCATTACCAAGAAGGCCCTGCCCTGGGACGGCCTGTGGCTGGCCCCTGCAGATGGCACGAGGGCTCCAGGAAAGCTGGAAGCAGCCAGCGGCAGAGTCAGGCCAGGGCCCACAGCACCTGCTGCCCACCACCGACGGGCTGATCACAAGGGGGGGCTGTGCAGGGCGCCAGCTGCCCTGCCAGGGGCCAGCCAAAGGCAGAAGCCAAATGCAGCTCGCTGCCGGTTCCTCTCCCGTCGCTCTGTCCCAGCCCGTTATCTAAGGTATCCTGCCTCAGCACATGGAGGTTCCACTGAGTTATGGTGGCCAGCAGCTGCAGATAAAGCCCCTCCTGCACAGGTGTGTCTGATGCTTTTGAAAGCCAGGTGCAGTAGGGGCTGCTGCTGACCTTGATCCCAGGGCGCCCTCAGGGTGGGGGGCGGGGGCAGGAGGGGACGCTGCGGTTGTCCTCCGAGCGCCAGACGGGCCCTGCGGGGCCAGACCAAAGGGAGGTGGCGGAGGGAGGGCACGGGAGCAGCCAGCGTCCCGCCACCTCTGGCCACCTTTTGACCTGGCCCGAAACAGTCACCTCCTGCGGCTCAGGGGTGCTTCACAGGGAAAAGGGTTCCCACCCGGGAAGAACACCCAGCCCTGCTGCCTCTTTGGGGGTTTGTCCTCATGTGCTAAGGCAAGTTTCTTGACAATCCTAGAATTTAACTGTATGCTCCATCTTTGGCTGCATGTCCTGACATCACACATTTCAGAAACAAAGAAAGACAGAAACCAGGGGCTGCACACCTTCAGCACAGCACCAAGTTGCCGCCCCGCCCCCACCTCCCAGGAACATTTCTCGTTTCTCGTGGTTGCGGAGATCTGGAGTGGGGGAGCGGCTTTTCTTCGACACGTTTTGGTCCAGTCAAAACTCCAGCGACTCTCCGGCGCCTGGCCCACATCATGGGCTAGGAGGTGCTCTCAAGGCACCGTCCTCCGCCGGCGTGGCGACCTTCAGAGGCCCACTGCCCAAGCATCTTCCCTGCTCAACATGAGCACGGATCGGAAGGGAGGGGAAGGCACACGAGGCCTGGGCTGCAGGTAGGACAAGGCGGCAGACGTGGCTTTGGGGCTGAGCGAGGACAGCCAAAATTCTGCAGGGGCTTGTTTCAAGGCCACCGTCTTCCCCGCCCTTCCCAGCTCAGCCTTCAACAGCCCCCTAAGCAACTAAACTTCCCTGGGATTCACACCCAGAATGGAAGGGTGAAACCCAGTATTCTGTCGTCCTTCCTAATCCACTTCTGGAACCTTCTGTCATTTTCCAGCAATATCCCAGCACATCTTAAGAATTGCCAGCATCCGCTGTGTCAGTTGCAACTAGCAGAGCGGGAACCAAAGTGGATTGGCACGGGCTGCTGTGGCTGAAAGGGTGGCGTGACTGGCAGAAATGCTACAGGTGAAGCTTCTCCGAGTACTGCTTTGCACTGCTGAGGGAGGGGCAAGCACACCCCACCACACAGCCTCGCAAAGAACAAAGGCGGCAGCCCTGTGGCAAGCCGGCGATGCCCTCCAGCTGCATTTGCGCCCCGCCTTCCGATCTCGCTTCCTTTCCCAGTCTGGTAACAGAATTCTGACCCTGACCAACGCTCAGCATCAGACTGGACTGCAGCCAGTGTGGGAAGGGCGAAGGAGACGCCCTCAGCCAGCACCTTGCGGCCTTGGCTGACCGGGCGGCTGCATCCTTTCCCAACATCGTTGGAGACATCCCTGGCAGCTGGAAGTCTGCGGCAGAGGCTGGTGGGGCAGCCTGATTCTCCCAGATTCCGTGCCCCCAACTGCGGGCATGGCATTGCCTGACCTGACCCACCCTTCCTCAGGCCAGTGCCCCAATCCTTTGCTCAGGGCATGGGCGGCCCCTGCCACCTGCCCCATCCACCCCCCTCCTCCCCTGCACGGCCGCAGAAGGTGGGCTCCTGGATGCCCCGAGCCTCCGAGGCAGGGCTTCAGCTCGAGGGCCGGTCCCGAGCCCGGGACCACACCTGCTGCGCCGTCACACCCGGGCCAGCTTCGGGGCAACCCCGCTCCGGCCAGGCCACCTGTGTGCCGGCCCTGCCTGCCTGCCTGCCTGCCATGCGTGGCTGCCCCCCGGCCTGCCTGGCCCACTCAGGGCCAGGCGGCCTTGGGCAAAGAGGCGCCAGGGGCCGCGTGTGGGCAGGGCCCAGGTGTTGCGGCGGTGATGCCGCCAGCCAGCCGCCCGCCCGGCCTGCAGCCCCCGCACCCGATGGGGTCCTCCCGGAGCCCCTCCGCCTCGCCTCCCCGAGGCCTCACCTCTGCGCCTTGCAAGCGAGGGTCCCGCCAGAGGGCCCGCCTCGCCTCGCTCGCTCGCCTCCCCGTCCCAGCCGCGCTTCCAGCTCGCTCTGCCTCTCTCGCTGGCTTCCTCTGGCTCCCTCCGCACCCCACCCCCTTATCCTGGCCCGGCCCAGCCCTGGCTGTTTCGCAGGCGGCGAGCCCGGCTGCAGATGTGCGCGGGGGGGGGGAGCGGAGGCTCGGCCTGCCATTCCGTCCTGCGGCGGGGCCGCAGCCTCCCCGCCTCGCCGCCCTCCCGCAGCAATGCCTGCCCCCCGCCCGGCACGGAGCCGCTCTCCACTCCCCCCGAATTCCTCTGCCCGCGCAGGAATGCGCAAGAGGCAGCGCGGGCGGGGGAGCCGTCGCGTCCCGAGGCGGGCGCGCGGAGCGGGGCCCGGGCAGGGCAGGGCAGGGCAGGGCTAGAGGCGACCCGCGTCCTGCAGCGCGCCCCTCGGCTCAGTCCTCTCCTCCCTGGGCAGGGGGGGGGGGGGGGGGGCGGAATTAGACGCCCGCCCCGCACAGGCCCGGCGAGCGCACGGCCTCGCATCGTCCTGGGCCATCCTCGCGCATCTGGCCTTCCCGTGGCGGCGTCCCCGCGCGGTTTGTGCGGGGCGTATGAACAAGGGGCATGTTGGTGGGAGGGGAGCCGTGGCCTTTCGGGGCGCGGGAGGGAAGCCCTTTGAGCAGAGCGGCTCTTGGAGGGTTTCTTTCGTCGCCTGCTCTGTCCTGGTGAAGGAGAAGTGGCTGGTTTGGGAGCGGCGCTCATACCTGCGAAGCTCCTGAAAGCAGACTCTTATCTGCACACTCTCCCCCTTTTAGGCTCCCTTAAAAAGGGAGTTTTGGGGTTTACGTGGGAGATCTTCACAGGTCGAGCACAAGAAACTTCACTGCAGAAAGCCTGGAGCACCTGGAGCGACGAGCCAAACGTGCCATCCGTTCGAGATGAAGTCAGCTCGTCTGTCCTGCGCAGCCCCTGCGCGTCTCCGTTTCATGCGGGATTAAATCCCCGTGAAACGGGAAGGAAGCGGCCCCCACCAAAAGCTCGGGCAAGCACCCTGGAGCGATCTTCATGTGTATTTCCCCATAAGTGTGGGTCCCCTGAATTTCTCCTCCCTGCAGCCCACCGGTAGATGTTGAAGGAGTTTGGTTTTGTATTGTCTGAGTAGCGCATTTTGCAGATTCTGACCTCCTGGTCTAGCATGTTTGTTGGAACTTAATTATGCCCTGGATTTCATATTTCCAATGCAATTCTTGGCTCAGAAATACGGAAATATTAAAAATGCGTATTTTGCGTATTTTGAGTGAAAAATGTAACTTGAAATGTGCATTTGGGAGGAAAATACATTTAAAATATGTACCCAAGTACATTAAAATGCAGATTCCACACAGTTTTTAATTTGCATATTAATGCATAAATAGGGCTGGATGAATTCACTGAAAAGTTGCAGGGAGCAGAAATAGACCTTTGGCCTCAGCCTCTGAATTTACGAACAGAAAAATGTGCTCAGCTGCCAGCCACCTCCCCTGCCCGCACACCGAGGAGCCATGTCGGCTTGGGCATGCTGGGAACTGTCTGCCTAAATAGGCATGGGGCTGCACCATGATTCGCTATCTCTGTTCATCCCCATTTCCAGTCCGGGAAGGAGGGATACTATTCAGCAAAAGCGGGCTGTGGGTGAGGGCAGAATTAACCTCAGCAAGTGCATGTTCCCAGTGTTATTGAGACCGTATAATGGAAAACATCGATCCTTTATCTTTCAGTTCTCCTCTGAGTTCCACTGAAGGCTTCCAAGTGGGCCAGAATGTAATGCGAGTGAGTGAGAGTCTCACAAAGGGTCCTGGATGGCGTTTGTTTGTTTGCTTTTCAACCTTAAGTTCAGTGCAGGAGAGTTCAGGATACGCAACCGCAAGGGTGGAGTGCTTAATTAATTAGTTCTTCATTTAAAATATTCCCATCCCATCTTTGTCTTCACATGATAATTGAGAAAGTGCTCGAGGGTGCAGCGTGCACATGTTCAGACAGAAAAAGTCCCGCAGCTGCCAGCATGAAAAGCAACAGAAAGAAGCAGAGACCGTAAAAGCATCCATGGCAAAACTAGGAGCCAGTGAAGCAGTATGTATGTATGTATGTATTTATTTATTTAAAACATTTCTATGCCGCCCCATTCACTGAAGCCTCGGGGCGGCTCACAACATAAAATTAAAATATAATACATCCAAATATACAACGAATTAACAATATAAAATTATCAGTTTGAGCCGATAAAGGAGCAGGCAACCGGCAGGACACAGAATGGTGGCTCTCGGCCCCGAGCTCAGCCCTGAACGATTTGCTCAGCGCTTGGGCAAACTTAAAATGCATCGGAGAAGGTGCCAGCCAACGGCACTTTGCATTTTGGGTGCCCCCCCACCCCAAGAGAGACCTTGTGTCCAGGTGATGCTCTGGGGAGGAGGGGGTGCAGAGGGGACCCTCCGAGGAGGGCCTCAGAAGACAGGCCGTTGCTACGGGAGCCGGGCACCTTGGCCCACGTGCCCAGGGCCATCTCCCCCGCCCGCGTGAAGGAGACCCGAGCGTGCAACTCCCTCCGCATTCCCAAATGAATCCACCCACTTTGCACCTCCTGTGTTCGGGAAGGGGCCAGAAGTGAGTCCTCCGTCGGCATTTCATGCCCCAGTCCTTCCTGCTCAAACACCACATCGAAAAACATTTCAAAGAAAAAAGTACATTTGAAAGCACCTCTTTCAATCCATATTTGAATTAAATGTTATTTATTAAAACAAGTTCAGAGATGCATGTCGAATGGAGGCGGCACTTAACCACGTTTGCAAGACCGGCTGGGGGGAGGGGGGTGTCCCTTATCTAACCCAGTCAAGCAGTTTTCTTACCCCAAGTGGCAACGATCTGGGGGCTGCAATCCTGAACCCACCTACCAGGGCATCCTCCAAACATCTGGAACCCTCCAGCTGTTTTGGGCCACGACTCAGATGAAGGAGCGGGCGACAGAATGGTGGCTCAGATCTGGACTCAGATCTGCAGTCCAGCACTTCTGGAGGGGTCTAGGTTGGAGGAGGCCTGAGCAAGCATAATGCACCGCATGTCCCTGCGAACCCCGCAGAGTAAGCTCCCTCTCAGAGCCCCAGAGAACAGCTGGGGTAATCTTGCTGGGTCTGCAGCCCAGAACCGTTCTCCTGGAGCTCTGAGCCTCTGGAAAACCCTCTGTCTCATCACTGTCCGAGTGCAGCTGCTCAGAGAAAGGTCCAGGGGCTGTAGGACCTCTGTGGCACCGAATTGCCCTGGTTTCGTTGGGGTTTGTCTCACGTCCTTCACCTCCTGCTGCCCCCTGGATCTTTCCTCGTCTGGTCCCTACACCCCTTTTACATGTATGGAAGTCCTTGGAAGGCAGGGCCCTTTGCGGCGAGGGTTGCATTTGCCCAGCGTTGGAGGAGTGAAGAACCACCCACCGACGGACTGATTTTAAAAAAGATCTTGGACTGCGCGGAAATGGACAGATTGACTTTGTCTCTGAGGGAGAAAGAAGATACAGACCTCTATCAAACCTGGGACTCTTTTTATCATTGGCTAGAGAAATGGGACTATGCATAGACTTAAACATGTTTATGGATTACTATAAAAAAAAATATACGGGGGGCTGACCCAGTAGGTCTGATGTTTCTGATGATTGATGATTTTTAGTTTCTTTTTGTTAGTAGAAAAATAATAATAAAACTTACTTAAAAAAAATAAAAACAAGGAAGGCAGGGTCCTTTAAAGACACGGAGACTTTAGGCACATGGAAATTAGCCTCTGCACAGGGGCGTTTTATTCGTCCAACACCTGATTTATGTCCTCTTGGTCTGAGTCCCACGTCTTTTTGGTCCCTCTCGGCCCCCTGTCGCTTTGGCTACATTAACACTTTTAAAAGTTGAAGGCGATTTCAGCATCCCTGGCATCACAGCTTCCAGCACGGCGATCAATTATGCAAAACCCACATTTTGTGGGTTTCAAGAGGGCTGGGGCAGATTCATGGAACAAACCAGACCTGGAATCTCAGTTCTTTGGCTGCCGCTCCGCCTGGACCCAGAAGCACCTAAAGACTTAGGCGAGTGTGGAATCCATGAACCGGCTAAGGGCCGAGCGGTCCATCTGCGAGCGATTAGCAGGCCCGCTTGTGGGGGGCCTGCTTCCCCCATTCCAACATCTGCCCTTCTAAGAGGGTCCCTTCCAGCACATGTTCTGCTCCCAGGGTCCCAGAGCCAAACCGGCAACACCACATACACGCAACAACACGTGTTTCTCCCATGCTTGGCATTGTGTGACGCGCCACTTTGTTGAGCTACGACTGGCGTGCAGAGGTGAGACAGGAAGCGCTGGGAGAATAAAGGCTGGACCAGGCGGGCAGGTCCCCTAGAACCATGGAGCTGGGGGTGACCTAGTCTGGTCCTCCGCAGGATGCAGTCTGGTGCGGCAGCAACACCTGAGCCAGGCGGCAGGGGCAGGACCCTTTCTGGCTCAACATGCCCAGGATGGTCCCTGAGGTATCCCTTTCCCCAGGATATTTATTTTTATTTTATTTATTTTTCGATTTATATCCTGCCTTTTTCCTACAAAGGGCTCAAGGCAGCTTGCCTCATTCTCCTCCTCCATCTTATCCCCTTACACTTAGCGGGCCTTAAAGGGGTGGGTGGGCAAAGCTTGGGAGGACAGGTCTTCGCTGTGGGAGCTGAGCAAGCTGTTCATGCTCAGAGGCAGAATGTCCCCGAAGGCCAGGAGCTGTGGAGGAACGACAGAGGGTGGCCCTCCCACCCTGCCCTGCTCGTTGGCTTCCCAGAAGCATCTAGCTGGGTGTTGACTGAACCCTGGAATGCTGGACCTTGCACGGATATTCCAAACCGATCATTCCAACCCAGTGGTCCCAATCCTGTTCTTCCCGCTGCAAGGATATTGATGCATCGAACCACAGTGCTGGAGGACAGTTTTGAGAATACCCCGGCCTGATGGAAAGAGGAATCAGCAGGGCCTAGATCAGAGCAAGCCGGGGCTTTCCTGAGAAGTGAATATGAC